AAAACAGATTCCCAAAGGTAACCAAAATAAAAGGATGAACTTGCAGTAAAGATATTTTTAAATTGTGGAATGCAAGGATGGCAATGCCACAGAAGCACACACTGGGTTCTAGGAAAGGTGGAGGGTTTGATTCGGCCGGAGCATGCTGGCACCGTTACTCGGAAAGGACGTTTCGCGGTGCTTTCGTTGTTTCGGGAGGCCAGCCAAGTCTTCCATTTAGATTGATTGTATTTATTTGAAAGAGTTGCATAGAGAAGGAGATAGAGAGATCTTTTCTCACTGGCTCGCTCCCTAAACAGCTCCAATGACTAGCACTAAGCTAGATCAAAGCTGGGTACCTAGAATTCCGTCCGGGTCTCCCACGTGGTACCACGGGCCAAACCAGTTGTGCGAGCTGGGCCAGGGCAAAAGCCAGGAGTTCAGAACTCTACCTGGGTCTCCCGCACAGGTGGCAGGGGCCTAAGCATTTGAGTCATCTTCCACCTTCCCAGGCACATTAGCAGAAAATTGGATTCAAAGTGGAACAGTGTAGTGACCTGCCGGGTGTCCCGCCGGGTGTCCCGACAGGTGTCCTGTCGGGTGTCCCGCCGGGTGTCCCGTAGACTGTCAGGCCTGGAGTGCACACAGCCCCAGCCAAGCCTCACCCAGAGTGAGCCAGAGGATGGAGGCGTGCGCTCACACACTCTCTCTCTCTCTTTCAGATATATGGATCTTTGTTTTTCAAGGTTTATTTATTTTTATTGTGAAGTCATATTTACAGAGAGAGGGAGAAACAGAGAGAAAGCTCTTCCATCCACTGTTTCACTCCCTAAGCGGCTACAATGGCTAGAGCTCAGCCAGTCCAAAGCCAGGAACTGGGAGCTTCTTCTGGGTCTCCCACACGGTTGCAGGGTCCCAAGGCTTTGGGCCGTCCTCGACTGCTTTCTTAGACCATAAGCAGGGAGCTGAAAGGAAAGTGGAGCAGCCAAGATATGAACCGATGCCCGTATGGGACTGTGGCACATGCAAGGTGAGCATTTAGCCACTAGACTATCATGTCGGGCCCGCATATATGGATGTGTAGGCATCCATCACACTGTAAGTGAGTCTTTGAAAGCCTCTGTCGTTACGATAGTATATAACTTTCTGTTTGGGGTACATCATTTACATTCTCTTTCCTTTGACCAGAGTAGTCATTTCATGGATGCAAAGCCACTGTATGATGTACTCAAGACAAGTGCCTGAAACAATGAGTTTATAAAATCGTTCTGGAAGTATTGAGTAAATACATTACAGCCATATTTCCATCTGCTTAGTTCATTCTTACTGCTCTTTCTAATTTTATTCACACACTCCGCCCTTTCATTTCAGTAAGCTTAGGAATAAAAATATTCCTACTTGAAACCCAAGCTCACAAGGTAATTAAACAGCCGGTGGACTGTGTGTTTATCTTTCCCTTTCTTGCTCATTGTCCGTCTCCTCCACTTCACCTCTGGTGGAATTAATGCTGGTTTCCAATGTGAGGTCTCACCCAGCTGTTTCTGACATCAGTATTTTCATACCTTTAATGGGTCTGCCCAATTCACAGGTGTTTTGCACAGGTAATTTCCACCCCTCTTGCATACACCGTCACTGCCCTGACAGGTGACGTGATAATTGCTTCCCAGCCAGAGAATGAGATCAGCGGATCCCAAGGCTTTATCTTGGGCTGCACCACTGAGGCCGGCACTCGACGCCTGCACGATGCAGTGCTGACAGCGAGAGGCAGCCTGGTGAGTGGTGACTGTGGCCTTCTGAGAAGGACTTCATCTCAGAAACCAGAAACATTTATGAACATTAAGTTGCTTTTATGGGATTAGAACATAAAAATTAGGAAATCACAAACATATATGAAGGTACTTTGATAAGTTCATGGAGAAATGGAATTAAAGAAGCTTGTTTTAATGCAAAAACATTTAAATGTGCTGAGTTTTTAAATAATAGATTGTCCATGAATTTTTTTGGATGCCCCCTCATATATGCTTAGAAATTTTTACTATTTTTAAGTGTACATTAACATGCGGTGCTTGTACAACTTCATAGGGCACAGTGCACTGCACCAGCCTATGCAGTGCCAACGGACTGGGTCAGGCAATGTCTCGTGGTAAACCCTTGGCGTGTTGTCACCCTCTTCCCTGCACAGGAGCTGCCTGCATCTCTCCTGCTTCCTTGGTGCTGCCACCCTGGTTGAAGTCATCACCGCACACCAGCCATCACAGCTTCCTCTCTGCGCTGTAGGACAGTGAGGTGACAGCCGAGCTCAGGCTGCTGAGCGGATGGTGCCTGCCGAGTGGGAGACACCTGCTGGTATGTGCAGGGGGCGGCTGCTCCCTTGTGTTTAATGGTAAGGGCTTGTTGCACTAGGTGGGGTCTGTGATGATCAGCCTGAGCTAACAGAATGTGAACATCTATTCAGGGGAAAAAATGACTCGTTCTGTCTTTCGTTTCAGAGGATAATAACAGTAAACAAATATGTGACTAGATGTCAGCCTCAAAGAACAATGTCAAGGGAAAAACTAAGACCTTTCAAACCTCAGGATGCAATTACTACACTGATTTGAAAGCAGATTTCGACAGTGCTGGGCCATTTTATGTTTACTGCAAGTTACTTTCAATAATCTTTAGCATGCTTTTCTCCTTTAATCAAACAAAAAATTAGACAAAATCTAAAATTGCTGTCAGAGACATCTGGTGGGCAGCCACACACACTTCTCTGGGGAGAGGGGACTTGTCTGAGGTCCATGTCCACATGGAAGCCTGAGGATCTGGGAGCCTGAGCTGGCTGGCCTGGTGAATTCCTGGCGTTGCTCAAAGCTCACAACTTCAGAAAAGTGTTCCATCATTTTTGCCCACCTGTCATTGTGTTATCAAGCTCACTGTTTCTCTTTAGAATCACTTCTGGTTCTTCCCTGCTCCCTGCTTAGTTTAGTCAGTAGCATTCGTTTTATCACATGCCATTATTCCATCAGTTACTTCTCAATTTGTTAGTTGCTGATGATCATAAGTCGGGTCTGTGACATTAGTGCAAAATCTTGACAGTCTGCTGCTATTACCCTGCGAACGGGGAAATTATTCTAAAACAGAGAACCACTCATTATTATGATTTGCTTCAGTAATAATAGTAATACAGGAGAAATGATTGGCATTTTCCCTTAAAAATCAGTTTTCAGAGTAATAACAATGCCACACACCTCTTCCTGTTCTAGCCAAATCTAGACAGTCCCACAGATCAATTGTGAACCGCAGTGGTTGGAGGCACCTGGTGTGTGGCAGGAGACCTGAGGCATGGCGGGCGTGATTGTTGGTGTGATGCTTAGAGGTGCCAGGCCTCTCGTGGGCACACGCACAGAGCGATGTTTCGACCAGTGTCTTCTCCCCTGCAGGACGGAGGAGACCAGGGCACCACGGGAACCTGGATGCCCACTGATCAGAAACCCAGTGTCAAAAGTCTGCAGTGAGATCTCACCAGAAGTTCCCAAACAAGTGCTCTTTCTCCATCCCATAAACCTGTCCCGAGACCCAGGTGAGAGAGGTTGATTGAAGCTTTGCTTCTTGTCTCCTTGCTGGCTGACCTCAAACACAAAGCCTTCCTCCTCTCAAAGGCATGTGCCCTGGTGAGTGGCTTCCGGAAGGGTCAAGCAGTGAGTTCTAGCTTGGTGTCACCATGAATGGCTTCCAGGAGGACTGGGCAGCGAGCCCTGGCTCGGCGTCACCGTGAGTCGGCTTCCTCGCATCTCCCATGGGAAAACATTACACGTTCCTGTTGAGCCTCAAATTGTTGGCATAAATATTCCATTTGTGCTCCATTTGTACTAGTATCTTATAAAAGAATTGTTTTCAAGTTAAGTTTTCTTCTTAAAAAAAAAAAAAGCAACAAAAAGCCAGGGTACCGGAGCCATTCTCATTTTCTGCCAAGTGCTTTAAGGATGTTTCTACCCCGCTCCTAGCAGCATCTTTTATCCTCAAAAATTTTGCTTTGTTTTGCTGAGAAATCACATTTGATACTATGATCTTTACACTTATTCTGCTCGGGGACGAGGGACTGTTGGTCGTGTTTACTCCATTGCAGGGAAATGAGAAATACATACGTGTTCTAGAATTACTTGCTACATGCATTAGTTCTTCTAAAAATGGTGTTGTTTTAATTTACTTAAACTTTATGTTTCTATGTAGAGATATGTTCTTTATGTAAACATCTTACTAACACTTATATGAAGACATTTTGATAATACTTCAAATTATTAGTGACAGCATACTTTGAGAATGCGCTATGGATAGCAGTGTGATATTTGCTGTCAGGTGCCAGGGTCTTCACCTGCGTCTCTGTGTTAAAATCATTTGAACTAACTTCACTTTAGAGCACAAAGAACGTTTCATAGACAATCAAGCCAAGCTTTTAATTCAATTTTAAATGTTGTCTCTTAAAATCATTTGATCTAACTTCACTTAAGAGCACATGGAATGTCTTACAATCAAGCTAAGATTTTTTCATTTGACTTTAATTGTATGGATTGTGGTAGTTTCTAGTAAGTTTTTCAATAACTGTAAAATATTAGACTTTGTGTAAGACAAACTATAAATCAGAGCACTTTATAAAGTTCATTTTTGGCTCCCGTCCCTGTCCAGTCTGTCGGTGTTCTAGCTTCTGTTGTGATTTGTGAGTGGGGTATGTCCTATACACGTTCGCTTCCTTGGCTTCGGCGCGTAAGGCTGCTGTGTCCGAGAGACAAGTCCACGTGCACGCACAGAGCTCTCCCCGAGCTGCGGTGTGGGCCATCACCCACGCAACTGTTGGTGGGTACCAAGACTGTTGGCAATGCAGGCTCCATTGAGCTTCCTTGGTGTACAAACACTCAAATGCCAACTGTCCAATTCAAGTAAGTGAGAATTTCTGGGAAATATTCCGCCCTGAGAACTGAGTACACTGTCATTTGTTTGCTTGTTCATTCTCTCTTCAATGAAAACCCCCAACAACTGATGTGATGTTTCCTTCCAGCTTGGATATGGGGATCATCTTCCTCACTCAGACAGGAATCGGCCTTGTGGGAAATTCCTCCCTCCTGTGTCTTTACAACTTCACTTTGATAAGCGGACGCTACTTGAGGCCCACCGATTTAATTCTCAACCAACTGGTGCTGGCCAATTCCATTGTTCTGTTCTCTAAAGGTATACCCCAGACGATGGCTGCTTTTGGGTGGAAATATTTCCTAGATGATGTTGGATGTAAAATCATCTTCTATTTTTATCGGCTGGCCACAGGAGTGTCCTTCAGCACCATCTGCCTCTTCAACGGCTTCCAGGCCATTAAACTTGACCCCAGTATTTGCAAGTGGATGGAGCTTAAGGCCAGATCCCTAAGGTTCATTGCCTTCTGCTGCTTTATCTGCTGGGTTCCGCACCTTTTGATAAATTCTTGTCTTCCTGTAATAGTGAGCGGTCCATTGCATAAGAAAAATAGCAGTGTGGAGGAGAATTATGGGTACTGTTCTTGGCACCTAAGCGAAGACCTTTTAGATTCATTTTACACGCTCCTGTATTTTTCTCCTGACATTCTGAGCTTGGGCTTCCTGATATGGGCCAGTGGCTCGACTGTCCTCGTCCTGCACAGGCACAAACAGCGAGTCTGGCACATCCGGCAGCAACGGCCTTCCTCCAGGCCTTCCCACGAGGTCAGAGCCACACACACCATCCTAATCCTGGTGAGTTTCTTTGTGACCTTTTATTCCATATATCTCACTTTGACCATCTGGATGACGCTTGTGGCAAACCAAGGCCAGTGGATGGTGAACACCTCTGTGCTGGTGGCCTCAAGCTTCCCCGCCTTCAGCCCCTTCGTGCTCATGCTCCGAGACACCAGGATCGCTCTGCTGTGTTCTGGCTGTGGGGCCAGGAGAGCAGCGCTTCCTGACCCGCCTTCAGGCTCATGAGGCTCCCCTGGTGTTCGTGTGTCTGTGGCTAGCTGGGACCTATTCCAGCAGGAACGAGCGATGTCATTTCAGGATGGTCATGTGCTTACTGCCCTCTGTGAGATACAGGGAAAAGGAACACGGTGTGCAGACTCGGCACAGATCCAGCATTCTAACCCCAGATCTCCCAGTGGAGAAGTCTGGGACATTTTCCAGTTGCATGTTAGAGACACCGAGCTAAGCCCCAGACAAATTCTTCACTTCAGAGCTGCCAGAAAGTCATACAAGGAATTTTTTCTTGTTTTGCTTTCAATGTTATTGCTTTCCATTTGTTCCTTTTTTACCTTTTAACTATCTTTAATCTTAATCTTAAAACAGTAATTTCACATTAATTGACAGAAAATAGTTGCGTGTACTTCACGGAGTGCAATGTGCTGTCTCCATCTGTATGGACTTCATAGAGAGATACAGTCAAGACAATCAGCGTATCACTCAACATTTTTTTTCTTGCTAAAAATGTGTTCTTTTAGCAACTTTGAAATATTTCCTGTGTTAACTTTTGGACAAAGACATCCTTTCAGAGATCGATGAAGAGTTCTTGGCAGGATAAAATCAGCTAGACGCACCCTGTGCGGAAGGCCTGTGCAGCCCTGCCGAGTGGCCTGCATGCCGTGGGTGTGGGGAGCTGGAGAACGGGGAGGCCAGCGCGACAGAAGGGACAGCTGGCTCTGGGTCATCACTGAGGAGAGACCAAGAAGCCGCCACCGTGTCTGTGTGGCAGCAGTGGGACTCAAGTGGATGACCATCCCAGGGCTGCTCGTAGCTACTTAGCTGTTTAACATTTAATTCAGATATTCATAATTTTACTTGTTTTTGCTAATAACATATAACTTTTATTATTATAGTCTAAGTTGAATTATTGAAAATTATTTAGTCCTCAAAGAGAATACATGATCAATTTATGATGCACATTAAGCATTTAAATTATTTATGAATTAATTTCTCAGCTATTTTTACCTAAACGAAAATTTAACAAAATTCCACAGAATAAAAGATTTTAAAGATATTTTTAGTTTTCTTTAGGACATTGAACATGCTCTTCTATGCCCTACAATAATACTGTTTTATCTTTTATTGTCTGAAATTCCAAATATTTTATTTAGGCTCTTTATATTTGTTAATACACATCTGTAGTTTCAATATGTATCAAAATTTCAATAACATTTATTTACTTAGTGTCAAAGCCATTAGCCTGTATGAGGGATCTTTAAAAATTTTGTGAAAATTATGTATTTTTAATAAACTATGTGTGGATTTCAAAATTTCTCATCAAAATGCACTTGCCTTTTATTCAATTTTTATGTAACCTTTTTTTCTCATATAGACCTTGAATAGATTTCCATATCTGGGCCCGGCGCAGTGGCGCAAGTGGTTAAGGTCCTCACCTTGCACGCCTGGGATCCCATATGGGCGCCGGTTCTAATCCCGGCAGCCCCTCTTCCCATCCAGCTCCCTGCCTGTGGCCCGGGAAAGCAGTCGAGGACGGCCCAAAGCTTTGGGACCCTGCACCCGCGCGGGAGACCCGGAAGAGGCTCCTGGCTTTAGATTGGTGCAGTACCGGCCATTGCGGCTCACTTGGGGAGTGAATCATCGGACGCAAGATCTTCCTCTCTGTCTGTCCTCTCTGTATATCTGCCTTTCCAATAAAAAAATAAAATAAACCTTAAAAAAAAAAAAAGATTTCCATATCTGAGGAAGGAGAGACAAACAGAGGACCCAGGCCATGGCCTTCATGGGTGGGAGGAAGGTCCAGGCCATGGCCTTCAGGGTTTACGAGGACGGTCAGGCCATGGCTTCCAGGGGTACAAGGAAGGCCTGAGCCACAACCTTTGCAGACGAGAGGAACACCTGGGCCACGGCTTCAGGAGGCTTTGTCCAGAAAAGACAAAAACGGCTCATGGCTAGGTGGTTAAGACAACGTCTCCAGGCTATGGTGTATCAGGACTGTCCTTGGTTCCCTGTACTCGGCCCTGGGTTGATTTAGAGATGGAAAGACAAATATATAGAGAGAAGAGACAAAGAGAGAAAGATCTTCCATGCCTTGGTTCACTCCCCAAGTGGCTGCAATGACCAGAACTGAGCCGGTCAGAAGCCATGGGTCAGGAGCTTCTTCTGGTCTCCCACAGAGTGTGCGGTGCCCCAGGGGTTTGGGTCATCTTCCACTATTTCCTCGAGCCACAAATAGGGAGCTGGATGGGAAGTGGAGCAGCTGGGATAGGAACTGGCACCACATGGGATCCTGGTACACACAAGGCAAGCATTTAGCCACTAGGCTATCGTGCAGGGCCCTGTGTTTTTTGTTTGTTTATTTTGTTTCTAAAAATGTATTTTTTTTACTGTAAAGTCTGATATACGGAAAGGAGGGAGACAGAGTAGAAGACCTTCTATTCATTAATTCATTCCCCAAGGGGCCACAATTGCCACAGCTGAGCCAATCCAAAGCCAGGAGCCAGGAGCCTCTTCGGAGTCTCCCACAGAGGTGCCAGGTCCCAAGGCTTTGGGCCATCCTCAACTGCTTTCTCAGGCCACGGGCAGGGAGCTGGATGGGAAGCATGACTGACAGGATTAAACCCAGCATCCATATTGGATCCCGGCATGTGCAAAGCAAGGTTTTTAGCTTAGGCCCGCCCTATGGCTCTGGGCCCGCCCTGTGGCTTTTTCTTTATTTCTTTATTTATTTATAAGCTCTAGGTGGTTAAGTTAGCATCTCCATTGGGTAGGAACTTTCCTTTCTAAGGCATTCAACTACCTTTTGGAGTGAGATGGCGTGCAAGAGAAAGCCTTAGCCATTTTAAATTAAGCTTACCTTAAAAACTGATGTAGATATTTTAAAACTGCGTCAGCAGTCTCATACACCCATATAGCTATAAGCTTTTTTGCATGAGTTTACGCAACAGCCAAGAAGTTTGAAGAGTTCACACAAGCGCTGGTTAGCACACACAGGAATCCGGTTTGTGTGTTATCTGCAGCAAGGTTTCCTGGGGGACCCTCTCAACTAGACTGCTGGACTCATACCCTGGCCACAGCAAAGATCTCAGGATTCATGGTCTGACCATGGAATGCATGTGTCAGAACTGAACCTCTTGGATGCTGAAGATGGTACACTGGATTGCATGCCCAGATGCAAATGGGGGACACTACAACTCATCGAGGTCTTCAGACGACATCTAGTACTGTGCCAGAGGATGTAGGGCAGAATGAATTGGACAACTCCCTTGGCCAAGCTTTGACAGAAAGTATCTGGGTGAGTGGAGACTCTAAGGTGGACTATGTCAACCAATGGACCTTGGAAGAATTTCTTCAACCTTGGAGCAATGAAATCAATAGCATCTCAGAACTATCAAAACCACTTGAGCACAATCCTTGGGGCATGTTCCATATCGGGGACCCTGGGATGACATCAGGTGGCCGTCCCACATCCCTGCGTCCTGATGCAGTTGGGCTTCTGGGAGCAGCCACCTTCCCTTCTCTCCTCACCCCCAATACAGAAGGAAAAGTGGAAACAATTGTCTCATTCACTCAGCTCCATTCCTTGACTCTCCCCACTCCAATCCACATGGGCATGCACCCTTCTCAACTTTGTAAGCATCAACAAAAATAAAATAAATTTATTTTTAATGCCTCTGTTACTCCTTTGTGTTTAGTCTTTTCCATTCTTGTCATATTGGTGTGCTGCCAACTGAACATTAACATCTCACTGTGGTTCCTGCACTCAGACGCTCTGTTCCCATTTCTGAACTGTGCTGTTCGTGGGTGCAAGGATTCGCTGTCCTGCCTGGTGGCCCTGCTTGTTGCTGACATCCAGCTCCCAGGAGGCCTTGGAATCCATGCCACATGGCCCTTGAGGGGGCAGACAGTAGCCCTGAGGTAGCCTGCACGCCACTTGCACCTTTTACCTCCAACAAAGTGAAAAGCTGCTTCTTGCCATGGCCAATAGGTCCGTCACACACTGGTTTCTGAGAGATGCTGGGCTGTTGTTTGTGGGCTGTCAATGGCTCAGTGAGGCTCACAGCTCAGCACCAACCCTGGGGATATAGGCATATAGCACTTAGGGAAGGCTGGGGCCTTGTCACTTATATGGAACTGTTCTGTCCGAGATACAGCTGGATGGTGTGTACCTAAGAATCCCTACATAAAATCATATATTACTCCTTTGCCACATAAACCTAGTTCTATTATCCTGCATTCCAAATCTGAAATACCCATGTTGTCACATTCCCAAGAAGGAAACAACACCAATTAACACAAAGAAATAAGACTTCATTACGGAAGTCCGGAGGCCCACAAGAGTGTTACATGGCAAGGAATGTTAGTCCTAGCCACGATTGCATGGTGTATCACATCCTTACGGAGAAAATCCTAGACCACTCATCTCCCTCAGCCCGAGGGATTTCTGAACAAGAAGGAAGAGGAGAAGGATGGCAGGAAGCATCCCCACGGAAACGAGGCCATGCAGTGATTCGCTTCTCAAATAGAACATTAGAACTCAGGCTTCGAGTCGGAAGTACTAGACCTTCAGTGGCCAACATGGACACTCACGGAGGACAATACTCTCTCGTGGTGCTGATTTCCGAGATTTCCTGCCCCCCCTTGGGGAAGTTGACTGCATTTGTAATTATATTGTGGGTTTTTCTTTTCTTTCTTTTTTTTTTTTCTGAAAGATTTATTTTATTTTCATTATAAAGTCAGATATACAAAGAGGAGGAGAGACAGAGAGGAAGATCTTCCATCCGATGATTCACTCCCCAAGTGAGTGCAACAGTCGGTGCCGTGCCAATCCAAAGCCAGGAGTCAGGAATTTCCTCCTGGTCTCCCACACGGGTGCAGGGTCCCAAGGCTTTTAGCCGTCCTCGACTGCTTTCCCAGGCCACAAGCAGGAAGCTGGATGGGAAGTGGAGCTGCCGGGATTAGAACTGGCGCCCATATGGGATCCTGGCACTTGCAGGTGAAGGATTAACCAA